CATGCAATGACCCCAAACGTAGGAAAGTATACCCTACATGAGGAAACCAATGATAATGGTTGGAGGATGATAGACTTTGCAACCACTAGAAATATGACCGTCAGTAGCAGCCTCTTCCCTCATAAGAGAATACATTTAGAAACATGGATCTCACCAGATGCACAATCTCACAACCAAATAGACCATGTGCTGATACATGCCCAACATGCCTCTGATGTCTTGGATGAAAGGACATATAGAGGAGCGGACTGCGATAGCGATCATAATATGGTGAAAGTGAGGATGAGACAACGGATCTCCAGTGCCAGTTGTACAAAAGGACATAGCAGTAAAAAATTTGACACTGATAAACTAAAAGACAGCCTTATAGCAAGGGAATATAAAATAGAATTGGAATCCACCTTGGAGATAGCAGTGGAAACAGAGGAGGAATATGGGGTTAAAAGGAGGTGGAACAAGATAAAGAATGCAGTACAAGTAGTAGCTGAAAACACGCTGGGAATATACAAACAAAAGAAAAGGAATAACTGGTATGATGACAATTGTCGAATAGCCCGGGAAAAGAGAAAAGAAGCACGTAAAAAGATGTTACAAAGAAGTACAAGATCAAATGTACAGGCATACAAGGAAGCAAGGAAACAGGCAAAGAACTTATGCAGAAGGAAGAAACGTCAATATGAAGAGGAACGACTAGAAGAAGCACAAAACAGGTTCAGAAGAGGCAAGGTACGAAAGTTTTATGAAAGTGTAAGACAGATGAGAGGCGGCTTCCAACCATGAACATCTATGTGCAGAAACAAGGATGGAGAATTGGTAGGGGATGAAGTGAGTGTCCTTAATATTTGGAAGGAGTACTTTGAGAAGCTGCTTAACCCAGGAGAAGGAGCACCAACGCAAGAAGAAGGAAAAATATGCTGTGGACCAGAAAGGGAAATCACTCCACCTTCTTTACAAGTAACTGCAACAATAAGAGCGTTGAAATTAAATCATTCTCCTGGGGAAGAGTCTATCTCAGCCGAGTTGATTAAATATGGTGCTAGAACGCTGTGGAAGCACATACAATCTTTATGTGAATTGGAGTGGAAGACGGAGACCATGCCTGAAGAATGGCATACAGCAATTATCTGCCCAATACACAAAAAAGGCAACAAGTTAGAATGCAAGAATTACCGAGGGATCTCACTCCTCAATGTCACCTATAAAATATTTGCAGCAGTATTATCGAAGCGCCTGGAGCTTTATGTTGAAGATTGTTTAGGAGACTACCAGTGTGGTTTTAGGAAAAACCGATCAACAATTGGCCAGATTCACTGCCTTAGAAGACATGCGAACGAAACATCGAAGTGCATCAACTATATATCGACTTCAAACAGGCCTACGATAGCATAGATAGAAATCAACTAATAGAAATAATGAGAGAATCTGGATTTCCAGTTAGTAAGATTGGTGAAAATGACCCTGACAAATACTTGCAATAAGGTGAAAATACAAGATAGGGTCTCTAACAGCTTTGAAACAGTGGCGGGCTTACAACAGCTATTTAACATTTGTCTAGAAAGGTCATTAGAGCAATCAAAACAAACCCTGGAGGACACATCTTTAATAGAATCTGTCAGATACTCGCATACACAGATGATTTGGTGGCGCTGGGAAGAAGCATGAAGTACCTCACAGAACCAATGGAAGAGATAATTACTGCAGCCAAGAAAGTAGGCCTAGAGATTAACAACACCAAAAGCAAGCACATGCTGAACAAGACGAGCGGAGCCAATGAGCCTGGGGTTGTAGAGATTGCTGGGAGGGAATTTGAAGGGGTGGAGTCTTTCAAATATCTAGGCTCCTTGATCACAAGCTGTAATGACATCCTCACAGAAATAAAAGCAAGAATTACTGCGGGTAACAAATACTACTACGCTCTAGGCCAAGTTCTCAGGAAAAGGTATATCCACCAAAACCTTAAACTGCGGTTGTACACTACTATAATACGACCTATAGTATTGTGTGGATCTGAATGCTGGACCTTAACATCTCTAGCTGAAAGAATGCTTATGTCCTGGGAAAGGAAAATTTTAAGGCAGATTTTTGGTCCAAATATGTGACAATGGCCTATGGAGAATTAGAAAGAGTATCGAGCTGGAGAGGCTGTTCAAAAGCTCAGATATTGTAGCTGTAATAAAGGCAAGGAGGATAGAATGGCTTGGACATATACTCCAAATGAGTGATGATACAGGATGTAAGATGATCATCAATAGTAAACCTCCTGGCAAATTAAAAGGAAGACCGAAACTCTGGTGGATCGAAGATGTGGAGTCTGATCTTAAACAGATGGGTGTAAGAGGCTGGAGAAGAAAAAAACAAAATAGGGAAGACTGGGCAGCGATCTCAAGAGAAGCCAAGGCTATACTGAAAGGGCCGTAGCGCTAGAGAAGAAGTCTTTTGGGATGTTGTATTGTATACTTTGGTAGATACTGACCAACATTTAAGAGGAGCCTACTGCTTTTTAAATCAAGAAGAACAAAATGAATGGGACAAAAGGCACACACAGTGAAACAGGATATGCATACAATATTGATTGAAAACCTCAAGAAAGAAAGCACTTGGGGCAGTATGCACAGAAAAAGAGTAATATTAAAAAAAGATGTGAGGATGTAAACTGAGCTAAATTCCCTCAGAGCTGGCTCTAATGGTGTCCTTATATAAACATAGAGATGAATCTTCAGGTTCTGTAAGGTGACAAAGATGTCTCCAGTGCTTAATTAAGCACTCTTCCATGCAGATATATGGGGAAATGCGAGACAGTTCCATGTCTTATTAACCTAGCACTAGATGATGTAGACAAGCATCCAACTTCATGCCCTGGCTGTTTTATCAGGTTCTGTCAAAGATGAAAATTTCTTGACCATTTGAATAACTATCCATTTTCCAACAAAGACCCTGATTCATGTAGTCAGTCCTTCAGCTCCATAGTTTTAAGCACAAGACAACGTTCAATTTGTTCAATTTGAACGTACAAACTTGCAACTTTCCAGTTATGTGCATTACATATAGAAGAGACAAACCTGTCATGATCTCTAGGGGGAGCATTGCCCTGTAAAGAAATGGGACTGGGACTCTGACCGAGACCAGGGGCATCAGGATCAGCTGGCTGCAGCAGTGTTGGATCCAGGTGGCTCGCTAGACCTGCATTTGTCACCACTCTCACCTGTAACACAAACCACTTAGCAAGATGACTGCTATACAATCTGAAAGGGATACAGAAAAGACTATTAACTGTTTATTTTTAGGCACAACAAAGTTGCAAAAATGTACCATGCATGTCTGTCCACAGGTAACAACTCAAGAACCAATGAACACATTTTCTTAAAATTATGGTGGGCAATTCTACTAGAATCTGTAAATATATTCCAATTTAGGTTAAATCGGACAAAAGTAAAAGACAATTTGCATGAAGATCCACATGTGCTCCTGCACACATCTTGAGCATGACTTATTTAAACTTCCTTTCCTTAGCACTAAGTTAAAGTGCTAAGTTCATAAAACAAATATATACAGAGTGAGTCAAAAGTAAAGAATAATTAAACACACATTTTATTTCCAATACATGTTTTCTTTTTGCAATCTTATGGTTTTTTCTGGGTAGATTAACAAAAAAAGATTTTTATACTGCCATCTCAGAAAGTGAAAATCATTAGACTGGCTTTAATTAAATTTATATTGACAAAGTCCTAGCTCATCCACACCGCATATTGTATGCAGAGCATTAGAAGTAAAAGTTGACATTCATGAAATGAAAATACAGAGGCAAAAACAAAGAAAAGACACCAGAATTGTTGATGTATGCATATTTCCTAACTCATGATACAGCAACATCAAAAAAAAAAATAGGTAAAATAAATAAGACAAAGTACAGAAATTCTTTATGGTGATCACTAAATAACAATAAATTATTTTTGGTGGTGATGATGATCACGAATAGTACCCTATTATTGCAGATTTCCATACAGAAGTCAGTGGTCATGGATGCTACTACTGCTCACTAAAAACTCTCAGAAGAATTGTATGTTTTAAGAAGACATGGCTGTCAAAGTAAGAAAAGAGTTATGATGAAGCAACTAAGTCCATATCTTAACATGGCAAGAACAGAGTCATGCAATGTTAAACACTGTTATAAACAGGCACAAAACACACCTGTCTCTAGACTTAAGCACAAAATCAGTCTCACCAGTCTGTCCTCCAGGGCTGCAGTTTCCTCCCTATCCTCTGTCTTCAGAGTTCCTGTCACAGACTTGATAAGGAAGAACTGGGTGATTGTTTCCAGATCAGGACCAGACACTGAGAATGTCAGTTCTGGAAGCTGTGCATGCAGCCAGTCTATGTCTTCTATTGTAATCTGAAAGTAAGTAGCAGCCATATTACAATATGACAGACATAGCAGAACTCAGGACAGGTTAACAACAAAAGAGCCTGAGTCATACCTGGGGTAGATCTAAGTCAAAAGGTACAGGTGCTTGTGTGGCGAATGAAGGAGGCAGGTCCTCCATGCCTGGGAAAAGATTTCTCATAAAGTGACCTTCAAACTGGCTCTGGAATTCCCTGCGCCTAGCCACCTCCTCGTTGTGAACAGCCAGCAATTGACATGCCAGGTCACTAGCCCACTAAATAACAAAAGAAATGTTTGCTTTGATGAGATGTCATGTCCTGTCACAAAAATAATATTTTATATACAAGCAGTTTTTATAGTTTCTTTCAAAATGGACACTTGAGATTTGAAGTATTACAATGTTTGTTTCACCATCAACAATATTACTTTAAAAACTGCACTATGTAGCTGGCTTTATTTCATTAATTGTTTTAAAAGGAGCAATTTATTACAAACTTTGCGTTGTTTATCAGTCTTCTGAGTTAAAACACCACACATTCTTCCAAATTGGTACTACCTTAAGTCTACATGGTGCTACCACCCATATAACCAATATTGACATCTTCACCACCATGAAAACCTCAAATCAAGCTTTGTATTGTTTTCTGAATAAACATATCAAAACAAGTTAAGATTTTATACGACATTAAAAATTAAAATTCATTAATTAGTGTCACAACAGTGATCTTTTACTCTGCATTTGGACTCAGGAGAAGCAAACCTACCTTCTTTAAACACAAACATTAATCATACAATTGCATATTTCAATAAAATGGTGAATTATTGAAGCTTGTCCTATCAGATCTTAAATCTGACAGTCTTTCAGAAAGGAGTTTATATCAGTAACAGTATACTTAATGACTTAATACAGAATATGTAAACACATCTACTTGGTAACATACATCAAAATGTTAGAAAATGTTTCTGTGGCCATAATGTTTAAACATCATTATCTACATACATTACAAAAATACAGCATGTACCACCAAATTTTCCTTGGAGAAGTTAAGACCTTTGCTTCTGCTACCATGTCAACTTTAGCACTGGCATCATAACAGGTATTGCATATAATAATTCTACAATTTGCATCCTACACTTTTATTAGAAAGTTTCAGGTAACAGTGGAGAAATATAATGCTAATGGTAACAAAACCAATTCACACAGCAGTGATAGCAGCAGTGAAATAAACCAGTAATTGTAAATATGTTATCAGCAATTACAAATTTTTCAAGCTGTTGCAATTTTGTCAGCAATCATACATGCATGTGCAGATTTCTACAGCTGCACAAACCACATCACTTTTACATTTTACTTTTCAATCTTCAGTAATATTTTCATCCACATAATATTTGGATAAATACACTACTTTGGTTCCGGAAGTGTCTTGTACATTATGAAGTGCACAAGTTGAACAGTTGATCATGTGACACTATCCAATATGCATCATGAGATTTAACACCACATACGTCATCTACAAATGAATTTATAGAGACCATTTTAAAGCACAGGTTATAAATAATGAATGTGTAAGTAATTCAACTGACCACAAGAAAAGCCTGAGAGAAGGTCCGTCGCCGTACAACTTCTCCGACAGCATTGATGTACATCTGTGCAGATATGTGAATCTGCTGGATAATGACAAAATGTCGATGCATGCGCTTTAGCTTCTCATGGTACATCATGAGCCGGTTGCCTACATCACTAATCATATTCTCCACACACATGACCCATCTGAGACGCACGTGCAAGTTACGACACAGCTCCTCCTTGGCTCGGGTACAACGAGCTCGAATATCCAGCAAGTGTTCATGGTTTTTTAACATCACCAGCAGTTGACGTCGATGGGATGCACAGAGGTCCGGCAAGATAGAGGCATCACCCAGAACATTCGCCCGAGTCTGGTTTGACAGAAATGACTACAAAGCAGAACCACATTATTACTATGACACTTAAGTCTGGTTTCATACAAACACAGATCAAACAGTACACAATATTTTCCATGCAACACAACTAGAGTTTTAGAGCTCTTCTTTCAAAATGTAATTTAGAAAACATCTTTTTTCAGACAATATTTTTAGTTCTGTGTGTGCATACCTTCTAACAGATTGAAATATTATGATTTACAAATCAGTATAAGTACATCATTTCCAGATCTAAGTTTATGAATTCACAACACAAAATCTTCACCAGAAAGCAGAAACAATTTACAAATTATAATTTGAATTGCAATCTAATAATTATTAGATTGCAATTCAGCCTGGATTCAGTAAATATGGGTGGAATAACATGCAACTATATAGAGAAAGTCCAAAGGAGCCATGTAACTAACTAATCTCTGACAGCAAATGAAAAGTGAACCCACATTTTTCAGTTCAGTAACAACACTTTCATTCCCGTGCCATAGCCGTGCGGTCTGAGGCATCATGCTTCGGACCGGCGATACAGAATGAGCGCTGGTTCGAGTCTCAGGGAGAAGAAATTTCTCATGAGCTTTCGACCAGTGTAGGGGACCGGTGCCAACCCAGCATCGTGAGGAAATTGGGAAGCTACAATGAGTAGCGTAATCCGATCAGGAAAGCTAACAATGGCTGGGGGTTCGTCATGCTGACCACACATCACTTTATATCTGGTTGGATGATCGTTCACCTCTGCTTAGGCATGTGAACGTGAGGCCAACAGTCAAGCTAGTCGGCTATGGCTCTCTAGAGCTGTTACACCACGGATTTAAACAACACTTTCAATTAGGATTAAAGTTATAACAAAGTCTATATCATCGCATATTTTAATCTCCACTTTTATCCATTTGTAACTAACAAAAAAGCACTGGCTTCTTTTGAAAAGGGAAATGTCTGATCATAAGGAAAGTCTGTACTCCAATATGGAGCCACCATAATTACATAATTTGACAGTATTTAAAATAAAGAAAAAATAATCTTATTTGTGAAAAAAAGTAACGTTATGTAATAAGAAATACTGCAATTCCTAAAATGCTTAAAAACTGCACAGATAGACATAGCCAAAGCGAACAAGCACAGATCAAATATGCAACCAAATCAGCATGGTCTGTCACAGCCTTCTGCATCTGATACACTATGTCTTCTTTGTTTTCCAGTGTTTCAAACAATGTATAAAAGCATGGTAAAAGCCGAGAATCAACTGCCTTAGTTGTCACAGGACAATATAAAGTTAAATATCTGGATCTATG